ATATATAAATAATATATATATATATATATATATATATATATATATATATATATATATATATATATATATATATATATATATATATAACTTTATATATATATATATATATATCTTTATATATATATATAAATATATATATATATGTTTATATATATATATATATATATATAGTGGGATACCTTTAAAAAGATACCCTGGTGTAAACCCAGAGTGGAACTTTTTTGGGATACCAGTTTCGGATGAAAGCTGGAGGTCTTTATGCATTCACACTGCACCATATGGCACGAATCCATACTCTACTCGAGACGTTCATGACACTTATATCTATAATGTATGTTTATCATCCTAACAATACATACCACATGGTGACTACTTATAAAACGAATAATTCTACTCCATTACCAATTCTATCTTCAAATCACATTTACGTTTGACTCTAACAACAATATAGTAGCACAACAACTAATGACTTTCCTTGACTGTTGTTTATTATTCTTATTACTTTTCACTACACTTAACTCATATCAGTTTTTAATATTTTTCCACTGTGAGGCTCTTTGTTTTCCTTTTGACATCTGTCCTTTTGTACTTTTATCTCACTCTGCTCAATCCTTTTTAACTTATTATTCATCACTAAGGCGTACACTACTCGGTGCAGCTTCACTAAAATGCATTGAATTTACAAAAAGTACTTACCATACATCACATTTATGCTCAACACAACAGTATTGCAGCATAACACTTGAAGACTCTAACTCTCTTTGAGTATGGTTGATTTATCTTGTCTATTTATACCACATCTTCTCAGATTAATTTAATAAAAGTTAATCAATTTCTGACACAAGAAGTTTATTTTTTTTCTGACTGAATAAAAAATTGAAAAAAAACACAACAACATCAAAGACTGAACTAAATTGTAAGCCTGAATGAACTTTTAACTTTTGAAGTGTACCATTATATGAAGTATACCATTATATTACCTGTTCATATTCAAATTTAAAAAAAAATATTGATATGGATGAGTCTTGTAACTTATTATAGCTAAATACCCTCATCAAACCAATTTTGGGCTAATTTTCCACCTTTATAGCCACCTCTCTCTTTTCTTCCTGTAGGATTTGAAGCTTCATTCTGCGCCTAATAATTCGTTAAAACTCCTCAAAAAAAATTTTAACTTCAAAGAATTAATAGGATTCCTTTAACGTTGCTATATAACGTTCCTATCGGTATCCTAGTAGTCCCATAAGAATCCTATGGAATCTATAGAATACATATAAATACTCTAAAGTAATACTATTGATGATACTATAGGAGTTCTATAAGACATATTGACCAAGGCAATCAAGCTATCCATCAACTAAAACTCAGTCTTGCGAGACTCGTCATACGACAATGCATTATTTAGTGTTATTGTATTAACATGCTTTAAAAACTTAATCTAGTTTTAGTTATTTAAGTTTTATGTCAATTTTTATGTCAATTTATATATATATATATATATATATATATATATATATATATATATATATATATATATATATATATATATATATATATATATATATATATACATATATTGTGTTTGTCTTATTCTCTTGCAGTCAACTATCAAACAACAACGAACTCTTATGAGTCTATCAAACATTTGGTTTTTAACCAAGAAACTTATCTGAAGCTATATAATGACTGATGGGTTTGGTGCAATTAAAACTCAATTTTACCACATTCGTTGGTTTAGTATTTATACAGATAAATTATTTTTTAAGCTATATCACGCTACATATATAACGGAACATGTTACAAACATGCAATTATCTCAAAATTATTATGAGAAATTTTTTTAAGGGAACATTCAACATATAAGTTACAGACAAGTTTTCAAAACTTTTTTAACAAATTTTGCAAACTCCTTATATAAACGCTGCAAAACATCTGTAAATAGGGAAAAAAATTAGATTTCGCAATGATTACTTAGTGACGCAAAAGATAAAAACGTTAATTAAATTAGGCTTCAGATTCATAACTTTAAGCAACTTCATTATTTTTAGTATTTATGAATAATATAAAATAGTAACGTATTTTATAAACTGTTATCAAACTATGAAACTGTTTTTTAATATTTTTATTTTAAACACAGCCGCATTTTTTTCAGAGTGGATTTTTTTTCAATAAATGAAACCACTTTCATTCAGATTTATTTTATGTAAAAAAAAAATGTTAAAAAATTCCCGAAAATAAACAATAACAAAAAATATTGTCAGTTTAAAAAAATGTTTTTACCCCACTGTGGATGGATTTATTATCTAAATATTTTTACATAATGGATTTATTATCTAAATATGATTACAAATGTATAATGAACTGATTATACAGCATAGTGTTTCATACAATCTTAAGTAAAAAGGTTGTTAGAACTCACTAAAACTAAGAAAAATTATAAAATTTTGTTTTAATTTACAATGTGATAAAAAAGTAAACTTAAAAAAAATATACAAAAATTTATTAAGCCATATGTCAAATAAATACTTTCCGTAGTTAAACAATCCATTTAGCTCTTTGAAGCCAGATGCCATCAGTAGATTCTCGGAAATATAGACCATTATCGTTTCCTTAAACAAAACGTCAAGTTATTATAACAACAACAACAACATCAACAACAACAACAACAGCAAAAACAACAACAACTAATACTACTACTATTACGATTCAAGGACGGATTTATGAGGGGGCGATAGGAGCAATCAAAACCATTTTTTAGGATAGATTTGAAGATAAATGTAAAGACACGTAAGACCATGTTGATATTAGAGATGAATACACGTTTTTTATTAGAAAAACGTGTATTTATGTGCAATATCAACATGGTCATTGTATTAAACAACGACATGTTTACAATATATCTACCATTGGTAATAAAATATCGATGTAGATGTAGCTAGATAGATACGCAGCTATCTATTATTAATAATAAAAAAGCGATATTTAATGAGCAACTAATTTGTTTAGTACAGTTTTCAACAAAATGTTTTGACCATCTTTACAGCAATAATTTTTTGTTCTGTATATATACAGAATACACCATAATGCACGCATTTATTACAAGAAAACATTTTTATTAAAAAAAAAAAAGGAATACATAAACATAATTGAATAAAAAATATTAAACATGTTAGTACTTTCTTTAAGTTCCTAAAATTTCTAAAATAACGTCTATTCTTTGCGGATTCTAAGCAACAACAGGCTCACAATATTACACTTTAAATTTTATTTGCTGAACATTGCTTCACAGAAGGTATCTTGCATAAGAGAGTGAGTTTGGTGGTTGACGAAAATAGACTTGATGTGCTGCAAACTACATAACCTGCGCTCTGTCTGAAAACGTGGCAGGTTGTCAAATTTTAACAGACCTATCATGTTCTTTTTAAAGCTTGTAGCAACTATAAACATTTTTTGAGAAAGACGTGACTTAAAAACAGCACAGAACAGTTCCAACAGTTCGAGAACTAACATTTACACTAGGAGTAATTTGAGCAAGAGTTTGTGAGCCTAAAATCTGTTAGTGCTTCTCAACTAAACAGCCTATTATGTTGTCAGTTTTAGGAGTGGTAATTCTTGGCTTTCCACAGAGTTTTAATGCATTGATCAATCATAAACAATTATCTTCATCTTAATTCGTCACTACACAATCAGTAACGCTACACGTAACTGTTTGGTGCGTTGCATGCAAACTTTGCATTTTTAATAATTATTGCATTTATAATAATTATCATAAACAAATATGAGTGGTCAGGTCTTTTTGGCAATAAATGTACAAATCTCAAAAGAAAAGAGATAAAGTAAGGCTATAATGAAAAAAATGTATTAAAACTATGAAGCTAACTAGTTTTTAACTTATTTTCGACTTGGATGTTTTTAAAAGAGTTATACTAAAAACTGCTAAAAGTGTTTTTTAAGGTATTGCTCGATTCATCATAAAAACAAGCAAAAAATCTTACCCATCCAATAATGTGTCCCAAAAGTTACTTCTTGATCGAAATAACTATCTAATGTCTTTAAACGTTTCCAATCTATATTGGCTAAGACGTTATTTTTGAACTCTTCATTAGTTATAGCCAACCATGTGTTATAAGTACTATGAAACTTCAAATACAACTTTTGATTTCTGTGCACAGCGTATAAATCCCTGTTCAGAACGTCATGACCCAAAACTGAACCAACACTCAAATCTAAAGCTATGTTAATAAAAAGTAAACTTTTCATTTTTAAATTAAATTTCATGACTTTTACTTAAACATTATACTGCAATATGATGAACAAATATTTCGAAAAGACAATTTTAAATGCAATAAAAAAGTGGTAATGTTAAAAGTAAATTAAAATTAAATTTAAGTTAAATAACCTGCCCATTTGATGCCGTTATCTTTTGAAGTATAACAAGCAGCTCTATTGCTATATAAGAATAAAATATTTTGCGTTGACATTATATATAATAATATTAAAGTAAACCTATAATATAACTTTGTATCATAGATTTGCGTTATAACGAAAAAATAAATTTGTTATAATGTTGTAACAAAATTAAATGTTTTGTTAAGCGTAATATTTAAACAAAAAACTTTATTTAACTTACTATCCATTTTTAATAACATCAAAGTTGATAAATATATCAAAATTTTTAATAGTATCAAAGTATCATTTTTAATAATATCAAAGTTGATAAATATATCAACTTAATATCAAAATCGATGCAAATGCTAACTCTGTCCGCCCACGCTTTTTATATGATGAGGCAAAGACATTTAACTTGTACTAAACCATACAGACTTGATATGATTTTTTAAACTCCTTATGATGGAATTTACTTTGAAATCCTGTACATAAACGCTCCTCGACATAATGACAAAATGGTTATTACTTCAATTGTCTTAACAACTTGTTCTTCATTTTATTTTTAATTTTTTGAACTTATTTGAAATTATTCTTGCAATCAAGTTTATTTTCATTTAAAGTAGTTTATTTATTTAAATATTTATAAAAAACAATATTAAAAAAATACACAAAAATAAGTAACTAATTTTGAACTTATTTAGTGCGTGTGTTCAATATAAGACAAACTCTGTCTTTTTAGTTTCTTTTCTTTTTAATAAAAAAAATACTTTGATAAAATATTAAAAAATGAAAACGCTTGACTAGTCATATGATACTAAATGTAAAAATTTCATATGATATCAAATGTAAAATAATACTTAAGATAAAATAAAATTTAATTGGTATTAACTTAGTTTACCAACAAAATTATATCATCAAAGTTTCTAAAACTATTAGGTTTGAAATATATCCTTACAAGTTTGTCCACAGTTCTTATACTCAGCTTTTATCAGTCAAAAATTAAAGGAAACAAAAATCAACCGCCTACCTTAAATAGTTTAACATATACTTCTCTTTACAAGCATAAGTTGTTTCAAAATTTTATAAACAAAAAAGGTTTTATTTATTTAACTAGAATGTAAAAAATAAATTAGTCAAATAACTTCACTAATTTTAGTTAAAAGTACAATCCTTAAGAACAATAGACTAGAATTTTTGGAATCTGAATGACAAAACTGAAAAAATTATTGACAAAAATTAAGATAAATTGCAAATTAAAAATATAATCTTCATGGATTATTAAGGGTTTTAAAAAATTTTATGTATTTGATATAGAAAAACATTCTGCATCAAATACCTAAAACTAATAAAAGTGAAGCTTTATATAAAACTTACGCTAAATTATATGAACGTCAAAGAAAAAAGCTTAAAAAATTTTTTTATAAATTCTGTTGGACCAAATTTATCCAAAGAAATTCCGCAAGCAATTAAAATATTAGTTTACGTAATAACTCCTAAAACGTCATAGTTTAATTCATTTGAACTAACTTTTGAAGAATATGAATGCAATTGAATTTGCTTTATTATTTTTCAAAAGTTAGTTCAAATTCTCAATAAATAATTTGAACTAACTTTTAAAAAATAATAAAGTAAAACAAAAAAGAAACTTGTTAAGCGCTTTACTACCATAAACGTGGTGTGAATTAAACTCGACACTTCTTGCTTATGAGGTTAGTGCTCTACGACAACACCACTACCGCAATATATAGCAATCAATATATAGCAAACAATATATAGCAATGTATAGCAATCAATATAGATTTTGTATGGATTATAATCAATATGGATAATTAGCAATTAGTATGGATTTTGAAAAATAACTTAACAGAATACCCAATTTTCAAATTTACTTGATGTATAACTAACTTTTTAGAAAGTTTCCAATATACAGTTATTTAAACTCTTTTAAATAAACTCAATATTTACGGTGTAGGTGGTAATGTTTTAACTTGGTTTAAAAGCTATTTAAATAAACAAATGCAGTTTGCATACGTAAATGTAGTATCACCACTGAGCTTGTTTGATATAACTTGTTGATTTCCTGAGGGATCTATATTAGGTCCTATTTTTTTTCTCATTTACATTAGCGATCTTCATTAAGCTTCAAAGTTAACGACGATTAATTTTTCAGACAACTCAAACTTATCTTTTTATATCACAACAACATTAAATTACTGTTTTATAATATGAATAAAAAATCGGGAAGATTTTTGATTGATTTAAAACAAATATTTATAGACGTAATAATAAAACAAAATCGTATTTTTCCATCCTAATCAATAATTTATGCTACATGACACACCACCACTTTTTACTGGTAATACAGTTTTAAAAAAAGTCATAGTTATAAACTCTTTTGGTATTTATATTAATGACAATCTAGCTTGGAGTTATTACATAAAAAATATGAGCAGTAAAATATAAAAAAGCAAAGGATATTCAAGTTTTCTATATAAACAACTTAATTAAACTTTAACTAAACTTTTAAATTTAAAAACTATTCATTCATTCGTTGTCACATAAATTATACGTGACAATGAATGAGTGAAGGGGAACATTGTGCTAGGTAGTACTAATGAAAAAAAACTCGAACCTCTTTATCGTCTTACTTATATCAAGCAGAATCGATTAATTCATACCAAGCTTCTTTTAATTAAAATAAAAAGCTTCTAATATATCCGAGCCTAAGATTTTTAATGTTGTTTGCTTTACAATTCAAACGTAAAAACAATCCGTTCTCTGTACCTTTTCATATTTGGTAAAACGAAAAAAAAAACTAAATACAATTTACGAAATGATAACAACATTCACCAATCAGCTTGTCAAACCAATTTTGGAAAATATTGTATTTTATTTCGGGGAGCATTTTGGAATAAAATAGTTTTGAAAAACTTTGACTTTACTCTAGAGCTATCTCGCTTTCAAACATAAGCTTGAAAAAGTCATTTTTTTATTAGATGATATATCTATTTTCTTATAGCTTCGTTTAAAATATAACAATTTATTAATTGTTATATAACACTTTTTGTAATTATTAATTTGTATGATGCATCTTTATATATTTTTTTAGTTGCTGTTAATGTTTTTAATTCTAAATTACTATCTTTATCTTCTAGCATAATAGCTTGAAAGTTTAAGTTCCTTTATTTCTTTTTTTTTATTGTAATTTATTTAATTTATTTTATGAATTTTTTTAGCGGTTTTTGATAACAAGACTTTACGGATATTTTTGAGTACCGCGTTTTTTTATTTCTTATAATTGTTCATGTAAACTTTTACTATATTTCTATATTTTATGTTTTATAAGCGATTGTTTTTTTTTGTAATGTAGTTTAAAAAACTGATGGAGGATAGATATAATTAAAAGTTGAAATGAAAGAGTTTAACTCATCAGCATTACACTTTAAATCAAAGTTGAAAAAGTAAAGATGATAACAAAGTGATAAAACCAACTGGTATTTGAAGAACTAATAAAATCTGATTTTAAATGGGTTATAAAGTTTAAATAGACAACAAATTCTTACCAATGAGCACTGTTTAAAAATATTTAACGAGGAAATTTACGCGGCATTTTTTAAAATCGTTCTTATATAGCTAAAACAGGGAATCCATCGCTTTAACTGCTGCGACACGCTACTTGTAACGCTTTATTCTTTAATTGAATATCTAGAATGTAATGACAAAATTTAAATAAATTAATTCATTCATTTATTTATTTTTTTGTTTATTTAATTTAAAAATCTTTTTTAAAATTAATTTTGAGATCTTTAAAACGTTTTTTTATAAGTTTAGTTTGGGTAACAATTGACGAGATACTCTTTCTACATATATAGCACTAATGTTCTTTTAAAGTAAATATTATGTAAGTACTTGTCTGATTAGTTACTGAATGTTGCCCTTGAATGAAACTTGATATATTCTGCAAAGAGAAAATAGATATGTTTATGAAGTCCAGAGTCACATTAACTATATGTTAATGAAAAGTTCGCAAAAAAAGTTTTTACAAAATTTTAATAATCAAATTAAGTGAAACTTGGATATAGCTAAACATAATCATTTCTCAATAAGGATTTTCATAAGAATAAAGTTTTTTTCCCATAAAAAAATCTTCTAGTAATCTGGGTGCAAAACTCTTAAAAAGAACTTTGCAAAAATGAAATTCAAAAAAATCTAAACTTTATTTCCTTTATACTTATTTAACAAAGGTAACCATGGTAGCTTACTCAGTGTAGCATGACAAGTCTAATCATTTAGATATATTGAACTATAAACTTTGTTACCAAAGATTACATAAAAGACATAACAAGAGACTACATTTGGGTTCTTCAAGAAACATATTTGCAATTCTAGAAATCCAACTTTTTCTGAACTTTGTTGAGTGATTTCTTATTTATTTATTTTTATTAGGTCTTTTTATTGACACTTTATCACGCATTATTTCTTATCCGACCATACGATTAAAAATCCTAAAACATCATTGTTATCGTCAGAAATAAACTCTTTAAGTTTTAGTGTCATAGCTAGATGTTTAAAAAAAACCATGTGAGTAAAACAGATTACATGATTAAAAATTCAAAAATATCATTGCTGTTGTCACAATAAATATAAAACGTTTTAGTGTCTATAAAATCAAACCCTGTGTTAAAAGCGTGTGTAGTAGTTTTTCTTCTAACCTATTCAAGCTGTAGCTTTTATATATACTTTACTAATTTAAATAAAACATTTGGAAGCAGATTAATTTCTGTTTCACTATCAACTCTTTCAGAAATTTAAAAAAAAAATGCAAAATTTAAACTTAAGTACGTACCATGCTCATTAGAGGTGGGAATTTTTTACATTTTTTTTTTTAAATCAATTAGCCCTTTTACTACCGGTGGAGAAATATTGTAAAACGTATTTTAAAAATAATTTTACCCGTAACAGACTCAAAAACCTTCTGCGTAAACTCATTTTTTGAAAATAATTTTACCCGTAACAGACTTAAAAACCTTCTGCGTAAACTCAATTTTTGAAAATAATTT